CCTTAACTCACTACCACTGACCTACACACCTAGACCCAGGATTCAGTTTTATAAGAAGTCGGTCTTCTCTGTAGATCTTTCAAGTATAATTTGTTAGCAGTATATGTAATATTTTTATTATTGATAGTTATATTGAGTTGCTTTATGGAACAAATGAATTCAAAGTATCTTGAGACTTTGGAATGATGGAATGATGTTTACTTACATATTTTTATTTGCATAAGGTCTGAGGAGTCTTTGCCTAACACACACACACACACACACACACACACACACACACACATCTGTTTTTGTTGTTGTTGATGTTTGTTTTGGCTGAGGATAACAGTAGCTTTTCAGTCTTACACATGGCATGTCACACATAACCCTGTAGGACACATGCTCTGTGTGACTTTTCTCTTATCCTGGATCTTGTCTTTGTAGCATGGCCTACCCATAGCTTTATAATGCATGCCTAATGACCTGTGGTAAAGCCATGCCTGGCAAGGCCTGAAGATGAATTAGTCACATCAGCCTAAGTCACATCGTCCACTGGGGCAATTCAGAGATCTCACTACACAGCTGCATTTTGGACTCTGGTGATATGGGTAAGTCAGGAAATCACTGCCAGTTTTCTGAGGAAATAATTGTTTTGTGGCTTTCTACCCTTTTGCAGGAAGATCTGTTTCAGCAGCCAGGCCTGAGGACGGAATTTGAGCATATAAGGGACTGTTTGGATACTGGAATGATTGATAACCTCTGTATCCTTCAGAAATTTGTATGTGCATATGAGAATATGAGAACTTTTAAAAGAGAAAGAAACATATCTCAAAGCCCGGAGTCTAATACTGTGCCCTTGGCTAACAGGCTCTTGCTCAGAACCTGCTCAGGGAGGATATTATGACTTCCAGCAGTCAGTGTGGCAGGAACTCAGGAGAGCCTGGCTCACCTGAGAAACAGCATGGTGCCTTCCAGATGTGGGCTGGCATCCAGCGCTGAGTAGAGTCTGCCTGGGCAGGCAGCCCTTCTGGCACATGCTTGTCCCTGGACCTTCTCCTATCCCCAGGCAGCACCATCACCTGTTCCTTAACAGTGGGCCAAAGGCGCTAGCAACCATTCCGTAGCCGAAGCCTTGCTGCTTTTCCTAGAGAGCCTACCAGAGCCTGTCATCTGTTACAGTGCCTACCATAACTGCTTGGAGTGTTCTGGCAATTACACAGCCAGCAAACAGGTGAGGGGAAGCACTGAGCATCAGCATGCATAGTAGCTAGCCCTGGGCAAATGAAGCCTACAGAACAAAATAGAACAGCCCCTCAAGTGTGATGGCTCAGAAAATTAATATCTTACCTTCTCCTGCAGTGGTTTGGAAGATTAACAGCTTTCTTTCTCAAGCCTGCTCTTCCTCCCATGTCCCCTTTGCTTTTAATAGCATCACTCTTAATTCCAGTGACTCAACCCCGATACTTGAGTCATTTCTGATTGCTCCCACTCCTCACCTCCCACGTGCCCAGTCCCATTGATGTATCACTTTCCTACTCTCTCCATTGTCACTCTGCTTACTTGGTGCAGTGTTCTGTGGTAATGCGCTTCTATTCTTTGTTTTGCATGCTACAATTAGATCGTGAACTTAAAGGTGCTGTCTTTTTTTTTTTTAACAAAACCATACTTACCTCTTGTTCACTGTTTTTAATGATCCTTCCCCTTCCTTCCTTCCTTTCTTTTTTTTTTTTTTTTTTGTTTGGTTTTTGAGACAGGGTCTCTCTGTATGACCAGTCTGGTCTGGAATTCAGTGTGGCCCAGATTGACCTCAAATTCACTATCCTTCTGCCTCAGCTTCCCAAGTACTGAGATCACAAGTGTGCATCACCACACCCAACTCAATGATTGCTACAATAATGTACAACGGTAGCCAGCAGTAAGGGTTCCAAAACCGTCGCTCATATCCATTGAACGTGGGTATCTTCTGGAACCTACCTTTTCCCAGCTCCCTAGTTGATTCTGCTGTGCAGATATGTGAGCTATTCATTGGATTCCAGCCCGGATAACCCTTTCGGGCTTAGTGCCTGTGCAGCAGTATATTCTTGCCAACATTGATGTCTCCTGTTCTCCCTGATTATCATCTTGCTTTCTCTTGCCTTCTATGCCCCCAATTCCCTAATCCTCACTGCTACAAGTCTAGTTTTATCTTATATTCAAGACCCAACTAAAATGTCTTAGTTCCCTTAAGTTGTCTGAGAACATGGAAATTCTCAGGAAGTCTGACCACTAAATTCATGCAGCATTTGATCTTTGTGCGTGTTTAATACTTATGCCAAGTGGTGAGTGATTAGCTCTGTGTATTCTTAGTCACATTTGTAAGTCATGTTCTCAGTTCCTGGAATACAGCAGGCAACTTGTCAAGTAATGAGTGAGTGAAGCTGAAAACCGCATTTCTCCCTTTTTCAGGTCATTTCTACTCTCCCCACGTTCCACAAAAATGTCTTCAACTACTTGATGTCGTTTTTGCAAGAATTGCTGAAAAATTCAGCAGAAAATCATTTGGATGAAAATATTCTAGGTAAGTAGCCAAGTGTCTAGGGCAAGCATCTCTACAGAAAAACAGAGGAAGAAAGTGGAATTAAAATGTGTTTTCTTTTCTACACTCATCTTTTTCCTCATCTTGCCTTCCTTTTCTCCCCAAGCTCTGAGGAAAGTGTTTGCCTTTTTTTTTTTTTTTTTTTTACTTTTTTTTGTTTTGAGACAGGGTTTCTCTGTGCAACAGCCCTGGTTGTCCTGGAATTTGCTTTGCAGACCAGACTGGCCTTGAAATCACAAGAGATCTGCCTGCCTCTGCCTCTGGAAGCTTCTTTTACTTTTTTAAAAGACAGGGGCAAGATATATCTGTTGCCAAAGCTCAAGCTCTCCATGTAGCTCATACTGGCCTTGGACTCAGGATCCTTTTGCCTTGGTCACCTGAATGCTGCATATGTCCAGAATATGCCCTATTCTGGACAAAGTTTATATGCAAATAAGAGTTTGCAGTTGGTGGTAGAACACTTACCTAACATGTATGAGGCCCTGGAGCTCCCTGTTTTGGCTGGACTAGCTGATTGGCAAGTCCCCAGAATCCACCTCTCTCCACTTCCACATCACTGAGTGTGTAAGCCAGTGTGCCTGGCTTTAAAAAGGTGGGTGCTGGGGTCTGCACTCAGGTCCTCTCATGTTTGCATGGCAGGCACTATGCTGAACTGAGCCACCTTCCCAGTCCCTATTTATTTTTGAGGCAGAGTCCCACTGTGTAGCTCAGACTGGCCTGGAATTGAGGACTGGTAGGGATACTGACATCTATCACCACAACCAGTTGTTTGTTTTTCCAAGAAGAAAATACCTGGGCATAGTGGCACACACCTTTAATCCCAGAACTCAGGAGGCAGAGGCAGGTGGATCGCCTGAGTTTGAGGCAGCCAGGGTCTGCCTTTGACAGATGTGTGTGTGTGTGTCTTTGGGGTAGTCTGCTTTGGGATAGTCCAGCCTCTTTCCTAACCACCCTAGTGTCCTAGTTCCTAATGGTGTCTTCTGTTTCTGTCATGCACAGCTAGTATATTTGGCAGCTTACTGCTCCGAAACCCAGCTGGTCGCCAAAAGCTTGACATGGTGGAGAAGAAGAAGGCCCAAGAGTTTATTCACCAATTCCTCTGTAGTCCAGTTTGAACCTCAATCCTCCTCTCCTGTTTTACCCAAGGCAGCCACAACTGTCAGCTCAAGAGCTGCTCTAAAATGCTCTGCAGCCAGCTGGAAGCAAGAATGGTAGCCTAGGCCTGACCCATGCCATTGGCTAGTACTCCTATGCTGCCTTGTGAAGACATGGGACAAATCCACAATAATAGAACTGACATTCAATGTTCAACTTTAGTTATTTAACACAAATAGATCTCTATTCATTTATATTTTTAAAAAATTTAAGTAACTATACATTGCCTTACTCAAACTGTCTCCAGGAAATACAGTGAGTTCCCTGTATCCCTGACTGAACATCTCATAATTAGATATTTGGACTAACTGAAGTCCTTGAAGGAGAATGAGTTGAACAGCAGGAATTTGATTGGATGTTCCTGGACAAACAAGTTTTAGCCATTCCAGATGCTTCCACTGTCCAATCTGAGGACATGTATATACTGGGGCAACTCTGTCCCCTTTGTACTTGGCTCCAAGGCCTCTCAGTGGCCCCTAGAAGCATGGAAGGTCTTTGGTGAAACAAGTGGGATTTTGTAGGCCAGACAGTCCTCCCAACTGTATATAATGCATTCCCTCTCATATGTGTAATATATTTTAATGATAAATGTATTTTTTAACAGTCATGATTGTATGGGTTTTTTTTTCCTCTTAATTTTCTTTGTTGTTATGTGTGTGTGGGTGTTGGTGGTGTTATATGCATGTGTGATTGCTGGTGCCAGGAGAGACCACAGATCTTTGTTAAAATGTAATTATATGCGGTAGTGAGCCACCCAATGTGGGTTCTGGAAATTGAACTCTAGTCTTCAAAAGAGCAGTAGATGGATGACCTTAACCATCGAGTTTTCTCTTCTCCCCTCATTCCCCTCTCTTAAAATTTGGTAGTTCTTGGCAGATGGGCCTTTGTGGCTTAAGCACAGAAGCAGCTGGTCAGGGGCCAAAGAGACATGTGCAGCAGGCTAGCGTGTGAGAGTCACTATTCAATATCACCCAAGCACAGCAGTTTGGGTTTGAATCCTGATCTAGCCTATAAAGGCACTGCTCCAACCTAAACGTTCCAGAGAAGTCGCTCTTGGGGAAGATAAGCAGTGGCTTATACGAGGATCTAATAATTATATTTACTGGACTAGAGTAGAAGTATGCCCAAAATCGCTTCTTGGCTTCAGAATACTGCTACCAGGTAGTGGTTTCAAGGGTCTATAGGGATGAGTGTTAACAGCTGAAGAGGGGATGGGCCAGTAGGTGGCGCTGACCCTCCCGAGCGCGAAAACCCTCCCTAGGACAGGAAAGTTGGGACTGCCAGCGCCGGCGGGCGTCAGAACGGGAGGCGTCTGGAGCACTCGGCTCTGCTTTCGGGTCCTGAGCCAGGTTAACTACGCTGCGTTACGAGGTCGCAGTGGAGGGAGAGGAGGGATGCCGCGGGCTGGCCTACGCGTCTGAAAAGCGGCGGCTGACTGCGCCCATCCCGCTGCAGCTATGGGCACAGCCCGGGCCCCGGACACCTCGGGTTCTCCCTCCCCGGAGGCGGTCCGCTCCCTACGGTCTGCTTCCCCAAGCCGCACAGGAGCGGCTGACGCCGCTCGCACCTCCCACAGTCTGCCGCCGGAGGCGCGAGCAAGAGCCAATCAGAAGCTGCAGCGGGCGCATGGACACGCCGGCTTCTCCTTCCTCCGGAAAGCGGAAGCGGAAGTGACGCGAGGGACAGGTGGGGGCAATCATGGTGCCGCTGGGGAGGGGAGAAGCTGCCGCTGCCGCCGTTGCCGGGAGCCGCGGAGGTAAAAGCAGAAGCTGGACTTGGCTGGGGCTGGGACTCCCCGGGGGGCGCGGGACTTGGGCTCCCTGCGGAAGCCGTTCCCGGTGGAGACTTCATTCCACTCACCAGAGGGACCCCACCCCTCCTCCGTTTCCATGGGGATGGGTATCCAGCCCCCCTTTTCTGTTTCCATGGAGACCCGGACCCTGCCCCTCATCGCCCAGCTCGTAGCCCCCAGCCAGCCTCGGGGTTTTTCTATGTAGCCCTGGACTGGGGGTGCCTTCCCGGTCAGGTTCCTTCTGCCAGTCTCTCAGGGGTGTTCGGTTCGCACTCCTCGTCCTCACTCATACCTCCTGATCTTGTTTGTTACGGAAAGTTGGTCTCCGCGTTGCCGCCGAAGGTGCCGGGACAGCCCACCGGGAGCTCTCGGTATTCTTATCTCTCCTTTCAGATACAGAGAAACGTGCATTTCTAGGGTTGCGTAAGCAAAGGTTCGGGCTGGTTCCTCTCAGATTAGATCCCTTGACCTGTGTCTGGTAACTACCTCGCCTTGTCGCTCTGGCTGGTAAAGGCTCACTTGCAGAAGAGAAAGTGCAGAACCAGGCTGAAAACCAAGTGATGTGCTGATTATTTTAAATTCTCCTTTTGTGTCTGCCAAACCCACGTTTGTAGAACCTGTGTGTTTTCGGGTGAAGGAAGACTCACCATTCCAGACCATGAAAGCTTCAAATTTGGTAATTTCCTCAAGAGACTGTATCTTCGAAAAAAGACTTTTATCTGCTTGTCTGTCATTCATTTTGTTGATATTTCCTGAGTTCCTCGTGTCAATATGCTGTGCTAGGGACAGCCTTTCGGGGCAGAAAGCCTAGTCACGATGTACAGGCATACTTTCAGGTCCTTGTCATGTTTTAGAATATAAGTAATTAAAATGATTTGCATTGGCTGTTCTTTATTGGAATTAACCCCTCCACCCCATGTGTTCTAGAAACGACAGAAGGAATCCATACTCTTTCTACTCTCTGACAAGATTGTGCTTTACATGTAGTTTCTCTTTCACTCCTTATGAGACAGGAACTGTTAGTCCCGCTGTAGAAAGACAAGGCACAAACAGGTTGGCCAAGCAGTAAAGGGCAAAACCAGGAATTGTAGGTGATGATGTTCAAAGTGTTGTTACTGCACCATCAATTACATGAGGCTGTATACTGTCTCACAGTGTAATTGAGAGGGAGGGTGTTTGATGAGAGTGCTTCTCTTCAGGTTTACAGCTACGGTCCCTTGAAGCAACCACCTGTTTGCTCTTTTATCCTCATTAGGTGCATACCCACCTTTAAAGTGTGTGACAGTAAATCACATTTAGAAGGTCTTGTGAACTGCTGACTTTAAATTTTTGAAGAAAAAAGTTATATTGCTTTCCCTTAACAGTGACTGATTTTGCCAATTTTTAAATATTTTCAAGGAAGATAATTTTTTTTTTTTGCTTTGGTTTGCTGATTTTTTTGTTTGTTTGTTTGTTTGTCTTCCTTTGAAATTCTCACTGTGTATCCCTGGTTCACATGGAACTCACAGAGATCCACCTTCCTGTACCTGCCAGGTGCTGGGATTAAAAGTGTGCACCACTGTGCCTAGGCCTGGATCACTGTCTTTTTTTTTGGTTTGTTTTGAAACAGGGTCTTACCATGTAACGTGGTTGGCCTGGAACTCGATATGAAGACCATGCTGGCCTTGAATTCAACATACCTGCCTCTGCCTGGCAAGGTCTGGAATTAAAGCTTTAGTTTGCCTTTTAAAAGGCAAAGGGAAAAGGATCACTACAGTGGTTAGGAGGTAGTTGAGTCTCATGCTGTGCCTCTAACTCTGGTGTTGTCTGTTGCAGAAAGGCCATTACCTTTCCATTTCTCACAATTGGGCTGAGCACAACTGAACCATGGGGGAACACAGTCCAGAGGACAATATCATCTTCTTTAAGGGAGAGGAAGATGACCTAACCCCGGATGACAAGATGCTCAGGTTTGTGGATGACAACGGACTGGTGCCTTCCTCATCTGGAACTGTCTATGATAGGACCACTGTTCTTATAGAACAGGACCCTGGCACTTTGGAGGATGAAGATGATGATGGACAGTGTGGAGAACACTTGCCTTTTCTAGTGGAAGGTGAAGAGGGCTTCCTAATAGATCAGGAAGCAATGTCCCAGGGTTATGTACAACACATTATCTCACCCGATCAGATTCATTTGACTATAAACCCTGGTTCCACGCCCATGCCAAGAAACATCGAAGGTGCAACCCTTACTCTGCAGTCGGAATGTCCAGAAACGAAACGGAAAGAAGTAAGTAAAGCAGCAGATGAGGGCCCAGTGTGGCTGTGGGGCAGCTCCTTATGCAGCGTGCTGGCAGTTTTTTACTGTGATTAAAGGAGATCCTGGGCTTAGAGCCTGTGGTGGTAGTCTTGCCTCTCAACAACACATCTGTGTCCTGTTCTGTTGTGACTGCTTTCTAGAACTGTTGGATTGTATGGCCACATTGTAACTGAGGAATACTACATTGTAATATCTCAGATTTTCCTCTCTAAATCATAAATAAAGTAGAAATTTCACCAAAGTGAATTCATGTTTATACTACAAAAGTAACAGCATGGCTACTCTGATAACAGAGTGACTAGATTTGTATGTAATAACTAGAACTGGCTATAAATGATTTGTTTTGGAGATGCCTGTGAGAATGTGCTTTATTAATTTAGTGAATAGTTAATAGATAATAGCGGGTAGTTCTTATCATTCAGGCCAGAGAACACAAATGAGACCAGATTAGCTGGAAGTTGTCACATTCATATTCAGATACTATGGATGAAGTAATGCCTTTCAGGGTATCTTGGAACTGTAAAGCATTTTTAAAATTGTAGTAGTGAATTTGAATGAAAGGCCTAAAGGTAGTGAGTGGTAAACATTATTCGGGAACTAGTGCAAGTTAATTTGAAAAAAACAGGTCACTGCAGTTCCTGTGCTGAGGACTCCATGTCAGGTACTACCAAGCAGAAATAGGCTTAATTTCTGGAGGAAATATTTTCCTTTTTTGTTGTAGTGGAGGTTTGAAATTACATACAACTTGTATAGATGACTTATTCATGACATTTGGCTTTTCCTTTATAACTCAAGGGCGGAATGCCTACCTAGCCTACATGAGAGTTTGAACTCTAGTATTGCAAATAAATGAATGACTTATAAATAAGTATCTTAGAGCTATGAATATCTTAGAGAAACCATCATTCCTCACGTCACAGTGGACACGGTAATGTTTGAAGCATCTCCAACATCTGTTTGGTCTGTACTTGAATACTTCCAGAATGGTAAGAGCACAGGCTTTCATAGCTCAGTCCAGTACATTTGTTGGCCTGCTCTGATTGCTAGGAAGCTTTTGCTTGTATGAGACGCAAGCCTGTCCTTGTGTGATGCTGCTCCCAGCCTCCAGTTCTGTCTCCCCGAGAGCCTGCTTCCGTGGGACAACCTGCACATCTTTAAAGGTCCTGTCATGCTCTTCGGTACAAGCTAGCCACCTACACTCAAATACTTTTCTGATGGCACCTCCCCACCCCCACCCCAGTCTCTCATCAGTCTGGTTGCCTTTAATTGAAGGAATTCCAGTTTTTCAAAGTCCTTTTAAAATCCAGAGTTGAGCATAATCTCACAAGAGTGAGTCAGCAGTGCCAGTTGTGTGGTGCTTATCTATGTCTTCATCTGGACACTGTACTATAATGGCCGTGCCATCTGTGCTTTATTATCAACATCTCACCGTTTGCTTGTACTTGGAAACCTCTAGAATAGTGGTTCTCAACCAGGCACAGTTTTGCCCCCCAGGAGACATTTGGTTGTCACACTGGGGAAGTGCTAACTGGAATCTTGTAGGTAGGGGTAATGATGCTGTTAGATACTTTATAATGTACAGGACAGCCTCCGACAACAAATCATTAACCCCCGATGTCTCCAGGGCTTGGATGGAGGAACCCTGTTCTGCATTATCATGAATGCAGCTGTCAAGTTTTGTTCTGGTGAAGGTAGCCAGGCTTGTAAGCCTTTGGAGTGTCTCCATACTGGAATTTTCTTGATGGTTTCAACCCAGTATGTGAGCTTGTATTAGGGGTTCATCTGTCTTCAACAGAATATTATTTGTTGTTGCTGCTGTTGTTTTTGAGATGTTCCCATGTAACCCAAGCTGGCCTCCAACTTGCTATGTGAAGTTAAAGTTGACCTTGAACTCCAGCTCTCCTGCCTTCCCCTTTCCAGTGCTAGGATGACAAGCATGCACCTGGCCTCACAAACATTTGCCAAGCAAGGTGCTGTGATTGCAGATGGTGATTTGCAAAATAGAGGTAGAAATACCTGATGGCAGTAATGTGAGCATTGGGGATAAAGTGTAAGTGTGAAGGGTACCAGTGCTGTGTTTGGGAGCACAAGGAGCTCACTTGTGTGCTTAGGCGAGCCTTCAAGGTAGTCTTAAAAAGTGTATTCAGTTTATGAGAAAAGCAGGGCAGGAGAATTTCTGAGACATGGGCACAAAGTGAACAAAGAGAGGGAGGTAGAAAGCAGAGGCCCCTTCCCCTCTTTAGGGAGTGGCCAGCCATCCTTCTAAAATTAGTGTGTTTTGTTTTCTCTTTTGAAACAGACTTGTGCAGCCCAAGCTTTCCTCAAAGTGGTGATCCTCCTGCCTCTCTAGTGCTAGGATTACAGGCATATACCACACGTGACCAGTACATTTTCTGTATAGGGCTAAATAGTAAATGTTCTTTTCCTTACAGACTATGTAGTCTCTGTTAACAGTCAGTTGTAGACCATGCACATATGGGCTGGGGGTAGAGCTTAGACTGGATCACATGCCACAAGGCCCTGGGTTCTATTCCCAGAACCACAGCACAGGAAAAAGGATAGCATGTAAATGAGCATGCTGGCCAGAATTGACTTAGGGGCTGTAGTGAGCGTCTCGGTCCTTGGACTAAAATCCCGGGAGTAGCAGGAGATGGGGATAGAAAGATAGCAAAGATCCAGATCTAGAACATAGTGATAGCTCCACGAGTGTTTGTGATGTTTACGAAGAGTAGGAGACTTGCAGATCTGGGAGCCAGGAGTAATGTGGCTAGAGGAGCGTATAGATGTGGCGCACGCCTTTGATCCCAGCACTCGGGAGGCAGGGGGGTGGGTCTCTGTGAGTTTGAGGCCAGCCTGGTCTACAGAGTTCCAGGACAGTCAGAACTATATAGTGAGACCCTGTCTCAAAACAAACAAACAAAAACAAAACAAAAGAGGAGCATTTTAGAAGGGATATTCTGGCAGCAGCAGGTAGCCAGGAAACAAAGGAAAGAAGGGACGCTATGGCCTGCTAGAAGACACTTGAGTTTCATTTAACAGTTGAAGGGGAGAATCTAAGACCCAAGGAGCTTTGTCTGCTGTTGGAATTTGCATAATGAGCCCTGAGTTGAATGTGAGTCAAAGGTTTTGAATCACATTCATTGAAAAGATTTGTTTAGGCTAGGTGGTGGTGGTGCACACCTTTAATCCCATCACCTGGGAGGCAGAGGCAGGTGGATCTCTGAGTTCAAGGCCAGCCTGGTTTACAGATGGAGTTCCAGGACATCCAGGGCTACACAGAGAAACCCTGTCTCGAAATCCCCCCCCACCACCACCACCAAAAAAAGGGAAAAACAAAACAAAACAGAAAAAAGCTTCGTCTAGGTCTGGGCATGGTGGTTGCACACCTTTCATGCCAGCACTCTGGAGGCAGAGTCAAGTGGATCTGAGTTCAAGGCCCACTAGGGCTATCCAGTAAGATCCTTCCTCAAAACAAAAGATAGGTTTTTCTCAATGCCTTGAGTTGCTGCTGGTTGATGAATGGTAAATATTTAGTAGTTGAGAGTCTATCACGATGTGTCATTCAGTCGTGTTCAGACTGCATGTTGAAGACAAAGTGGCTAGCTCTGCCTTCTACCCACTACCTCCCCACTCTAAATGGTGAGTCTGTTAACAAGAATTGGCACAAGAGCAAAGTTGGTGGGGAAGTGAGTACATTTGGTTGGTGCGTACTGAATGTAGTCCTTGGGCGTAAGGAGCATAAGTTGAAACCCACTGGAAATGTGGGTCTGAGGTCAAGCAAATGACACAGATCCTAGATGCCTTCAGGGTGGCCACACAAACAAGGAAGAAGATAGGGACTGGAGAGAGAAAGGGAGCCAGAGAAAAAGACAGTAGTCAGGAGAGGTGGGTCAGGAAGGCTGACTTCCTGTATGGCCTGGAAGAGGGAGTAGGGAGGAGCTGGAGAAAACACTAGTTCTTGTCTCTTGTACTCAACATTTTGAAAATGTTTTCAGTTGAGCCCTGGGCACAGAGTGTGTGAGGTAGAAGTAAGCTGGGATGAGAGAGCAGGAAGCAGAAGTGTGGAGTTTTGTTTTGTTTTTAAAGTTTGATACTTGGAAGAAAAACCATTGAGGCAGTAGTAGTAGCTCAGGGGCATTGAAACTTTGAAGTTTAGAAAGTTAGAGCTGGGCATGGTGATTCATGCCTTTCAGTCCCAGCGCTGGGGAAGGAGAGGCAGATGGAGTTCTAGGCCAGCTAGGGCTACGTAGTAAGAACCCATTTCTAAATTAATTTCATTAAAGCCTCAAAAGTTTTGGCATAGTTTAGGCCCTAGCTTTAGGCCAGCCTCAGTTAATGATTACTGTATGAGTGTTCATGAGCAAATGTTTGAGAAATGTTAAGTAAAATCAAACTGTTTCAGAACTTATCAGGCGGGACCTTTTGGCTTGCTAATAACTAAGAGAAGTATTTTCTAAATTCTGTAAGCTTATGTTATAAACCATTTTCCAGACATTAGCTGAGCATGGTTTGGGAAATGCTGATCTAAGCAGAAGAGAAGATAGGAGGGTGGATGGGATTATGCAATCTGATATTAGCTGTCACTTTCTTGCTTTGTACTCCTTACCAATTAGTTGCTTCTGTTTGCAAGCCTGGCTTGCCCCATTCGTTTCTTGGGGCCATTTAATCGTGAACAGGGTCAAGGATGTACGAGCTCTTCATCCAGTGTACTATGGGTTTATCTCATAGGCTCTTCCTTCTCTCTTCAGTTTTTCTATCCTATATGTAACATCTGTGTAGAAGAGTCTATATGCTAGACTTATTTATTTTCTGAATTGGATTTTAACAGCAGCCGATGCTGGCCTCAGACTCACAGCAGTCTGTTGAAGTCTGAGATTAGAAACGGGGGCCACTGCCCTGGTCTTAAACTGGTATTAGGCTCAGTAGGTTTGGGGCCTCGATGGGGATCAGGAAGAAGTAGCCACAGCCCT